AGTTACAGTGAGCTGGGATTGCGTCATTGTACTCCAGCCTGGGTGATAAGAGTGAGACTTCATCTCAAAAAATGAAGATAAAAAACTGTAAACCACATTTCACTCTGTAGTAAGTACCCCCTTCTATGCTCCGTTTAAGTGCACAATACACTACAATTTTTTTTTGTTTACTTTGTGTTTAATTCTTGCCTTCAGTTCTTGCTTGAACTGTTGCTTAAATCAAGCTTGCATACCCAACATTATTTTTCGTATACCACTGACTTTCTTTTTCATTTACCACTGACGGCTCCATTTGAAATTCAATGTTTAATGTCCTGTCATCTTTCCATTCCTATCAGTAGCATGTGGCACAGTTGAACACTTTCTCTTTTATTTTCTTGGCTTTTAGAACATCCCGTTGAGCTTTACACATCTATTTGTTGTAATTTTCTTTTTTTTTTTTTTGAGACGGAGTCACTCTGTCGACCAGGCTGGAGTGCAGTGGGGCAATCTCGGCTCACTGCAAGCTCCACCTCCCGGACCTGCCTCAGCCTCCCGAGTAGCTGGGATTACAGGCGCCCATCACCTTGCCTGGATAATTTTTCGTATTTTTAGTAGAGACGGGGTTTCACCGTGTTAGCCAGGATGGTCTCGATCTCCTGACCTCGTGATCCGCCCGCCTCGGCCTCCCAAAGTGCTGGGATTACAGGCTTGAGCCACCACGCCCGGCTATTTGTTGTAATTTTCTTGTTGCCTCCCTGATCACATTGTGCTTTCCTCTTCTTGTGTGTCCAGAACTTTCTGTTCTCTGAATATGGGCTTAGTCCTTCAGCCACTTTTTTTCTCTGTCCACACTCATTGCCTTTCCTTATCAGCTCAGCTCATGGCTTTGAACCTCACCTGCACAGCTTCGTGTCACCTACGGGACTCTCCCATGAACTCTGGATCCTGTGTCTAGGCCTCCCAAAGTGCTGAGATTACAGATGTTAGCCACTGTGCCTGGCTAAATTTATTATTATTTTTTTAAGAGAAATGGTGTCTCACTATGTTATTTAGGCTGGTCTTAAACTCCTGGCCTCGATTAATCTTTCTGCCTCAGCCTCCCAAAGTGCTAGGATTATAGTGTGAGCCACCACATTCAGCCTCTGCCTTTCGTTTCTGAGGCCAGAGAGGTGAGGGAGGCTGTTCTCTGCATGGGTTTGGTCAGGGCTGGGTGTGTGCCCTGAATGGGGGAGCTCAGTCCAGCCCACCTCCCAATTGCTGCAGCGTGTGTGTGGGCTTCTCCAGGAGGAGAGCTGATTCTGAAGAAAGGGATCAGAAACTCACTTACTGGTCTTCCTGTAGGAGCTTCTTGTCCCTGCATCGCCCTGGTGCAGTGGGCAGCTGAGACCATCTTTCCACAGGGTGAGGTCTTCCCTGTGTGTGTGTGATTGTGCCCTAGGAAGAGGATGTGTTGCTTCTGAGCAATAAACAGCACATTTTGGATATTCAATATTGACTTCTAAAGGCACTTTCCTGTTACCTAAGGAGGAACCCTCGAAGAGGAGGAAGAGGAAGGAAAGAGAAGTCGGGCATGGCTCTCACCCAGGTAAAATAATATTATCAGTGGATTGTTCTGTCTCTTATTTCTTGCTGAAATGTCATTCTTTGAAGTTGGGAATCTTCTGAGTCTGAAGCGTCCTGCCTGACAGGTTTGCTCGCACTCACCCATGCCTTCCCTCAGTCTCTCATCTCGCTTAGATTCCATCTCCTGTGACCCAGTGACATGAACTTGGAAAGAGGCTGCACTGGGCATGGGCCTGGGAAGGGCTCACACCCAGACATGGATGGAGATGGGGTGAGGGTCCCGTGGTGTCAGTGCTGTTGGGCAGCAGGGACTGTTCAGGGGCCACATCTGGATGCTCTGTCAGCTCTCTGTAGACCAGGAGTAGAGAAGCTGCATGTGGAAGTCACGTGCTAATGTGCACAAATACCTGCTAAATTCTGTAAAATAAGGCTAATAAAGGGAAATTTTTCTGGTTCATTTATATTACATTTGAAGCTGACCAAGTGAGTCACTGCATTTCCAACCCCAAGCTCTTATTAATGACTGGGAATGGAATGGGAATTTTAGACTGACAGACATCAGTGACAGAAGATTCTTTCATCCCATCATCTATTTTAATACATGAAATCAACCTAAATGGAAAATGCAGGAGAATCATTGAACTATTCTCAGAAAACCCATACAATGGAGACTGGTGTTTCTGCAGGGACCATTGTGTAGCGGGTGCTAGGTGAGAATGGTTATTATTTTGTTCAGTTATAGGAGCAGAACTTCTTTCCCATTAGGGAGGATAGAACCATGTTCTTGTTTTACCAATTTTTTTTTTTTGAGACGGAGTCTTGCTCTGTCACCTAGGCTGGAGTGCAGTGGCGTGATCTCAGCTCACTGCAAGCTCCGCCTCCCAGGTTCCCGCCATTCTCCTGTCTCAGCCTCCCAAGTAGCTGGGACTACAGGCGCCCGCCACCACGCCTGGCTAATTTTTTGTATTTTTGGTAGAGATGGGGTTTCACTGTGTTAACCAGGATGGTCTCAATCTCCTGACCTCATGATCCACCTGCCTTGGCCTCCCAAAGTGCTGGGATTACAGGTGTGAGCCACCGCGCCTGGCCTGTTTTTACCAATTATTAAATACTCTATTTATTGTATTTATTTATTTTGAGAGAGTCTCACCGTGGCACCCAGGCTGAAGTGCAGTGACATGATCTCGACTCACTGCAACCTCTACCTCCTGGGCTCAATCAATCCTGCTGCCTCAGACTCCCAAGTAGCTGAACTATAGGCACACACCATCATGCCTGGCTAATTTTTGTATTTTCTGTAGAGACAGGGTTTTACCATGTTACCCAAGCTGGTCTCGGACTCCTGAGCTCAACTGATTCACCCACCTTGGCCTCCCAAAGTGCTGGGATTACAGACGTGAGCCCCCACACCCGGCCCTGTTTCTCTTATTTTAAACATTGTATGTTGTATTTATCTGTTTTACAGTATAACTCCAAACAAACTTGCAGCTTATGCCCTAAGACGTAAAGCATCACCTTTCCTGTCCAGTCTTCTACCCTCCCTCTCGTCTCAGTGGGGAAACAGTGTTGTCAGTTTTGTGTCAAGAGACAGCTCAAGTCCTATAGAGATGTGTTTATAGATTGTTATAACATTAAGAACAAAATTTTTGGCCGGGCGCGGTGGCTCACGCCTGTAATCTCAGCACTTTGGGAGGCCGAGGCGGGCGGATCACAAGGTCAGGAGATCGAGACCACGGTGAAACTCCGTCTCTATTAAAAAAAATACAAAAAATTAGCCGGGCGCGGTGGCGGGCGCCTGTAGTCCCAGCTACTCAGGAGGCTGAGGCAGGAGAATGGCGTGAACCCGGGGGGCGGAGCTTGCAGTGAGCCCAGATCGCGCCACTGCACTCCAGCCTGGGCGACAGAGTGAGACTCCGTCTCAAAAAAAAAAAAAGAACAAAATTTTTCAGTGAATGTTTTTTGGGTTTTGTTTGTTTGTTTGTTTGTTTTGAGACAGAATCTCACTCTGTCACCCAGGCTGGAGTGGTGCAATCTCGGCTCACTGCAACCCCTGCCTCCTGGACTCAAGCAAGTCTTTTGCCTCAGCCTCTAGAGTGGCTGGGACTACACTTGCATGCCACCATGCCCAGCTAGTTTTTATATTTTTCGTAGAGACAAGGTTTCACCATGTTGGCCAGGCTGGTGCAAACTTTTGACCTGAAGGGATCAGCCCACTTGGTCTCCCAAAATGCTGGGATTACCGGCATAAGCCACCATGCCCGGCCCTTCAGTGAATGTTTTGTTGTGACATTTTAGCCTGCAGATTTTGAAAATTTACGTGTTTTCATGTTAGGAAAGATCGATAGCTCATTCTCCATCTTTTTTGGAGCCTTCTCTGAATGAGGAGAGAGTGGATGTTTTAACTTTCACTGTTGTTATTACTAAACTGTGTATATGTGATGTGAGTGCATGGTTTTTTTATTAAGCACACGTCATGATTTCTTTTTTTTTTTTTTTTGAGACAGAGTCTTACTCTGTCACCCAGGCTGGAGTGTAGTGGTGCGATCTCAGCTCACTGCAACCTCTGTCTCCTGGGTACAAGCGATTCTCCTGCCTCAGCCTCCCGAGTAGCTGGAATTACAGGCATCTGCCATCACACCAGCTAATTTTTGTATTTTTAGTAGAGACAGGGTTTCACCATGTTGGTCAGGCTGGTCTCGAACTCCTGACCTCAGGTGATCCATCTGACTCAGCCTCCCAAAGTGCTGGGATTACAGGTGTAAGCCACCACACCTAGCCTACACATCGTGATTTCAAACAAGTTTTGTGCTTTTTAGCAATTCAAATTGTATCTTAAATATTTTCTGTGCCCTTAAATTTGTCTCAACTATCACATTAATGATTTAATAGTAAGAATAGTAACATATTATGGGCATAAATAAATGTGTGTATATATGCAATTACCTTTTATGAAGTTCCATATTGTTATTCATGAACTTGTTTCAACTTTGCTCATTTAGGTACTTTTCATGTTCTTTTACTTAACTATTTGATTCTTTTTTTTTTTTTTGAGACAGTCTCTCGCTCTTTCACCCAGGCTGGAGTGCAGTGGCACAATCTTGGCTCACTGCAAACTCTGCCTTCCGGGTTCATGCCATTCTCCTGCCTCAGCCTCCCGAGTAGCTGGGACTACACCTGCCTGCCACCACACCCAGCAAATTTTTTGTATTTTTTTAGTAGAGACGGGATTTCAACGTATTAGCCAGGATGGTCTTGATCTCCTGACCTCATGATCCGCCTGCCTTGGTCTCCCAAAGTGCTGGGATTACAGGCATGAGCCAACGGGCCTGGCCAACTATTTGATTCTTTAGGTTTAATTCTTATTCCCAGACACCTGGATTTAGGTGCTTGCTCTGACATTTTAGCTCTTTGACTTGACGCAAGTTTCTTAGAGTATCTGTTATATATTTATCTGTTAGTAAGATGGGAACAGATCTTTCTCTCATGGGCTATCATATTCATATACAAGCTAGTACATGCAAGACATTTATTTAGAATAATGCCAGACCAAGCATGGTGACTTGCGCCTATAATCCCAGCACTTTAGGAGGCCAAGGCGGGCAGATCATCTGAGGTCAGGAGTTTGAGACCAGCCTGGTCAACATGGTAAAACCCCGTCTCTACTAAAAGTACAAAAATTAGCCAAGCATGGTGGTGGGTGCCTGTAATTCCAGCTATTTGGGAGGCTGAGGCAGGAGAATTGCTTGAACCCGGGAGGTGGAGGTTGCAGTGAGCCAAGATCATGCCACTGCACTCCAGCCTGGGCAATAGAGCGACTCTGTCTCAAAAAAATAAGTAAGTAAATAAATAAATAAGTAGAATAATGCCTTGCACTTGGGAAGTGCTCAGAAACATCTGTCATTGCGATGATCATCACAGTTTTTAGATTCTAACCTGTCTTTTTTTTTTTTTTTTTTTTTGAGACGGAGTCTTGCTGTGTCGCCCAGGCTGGAGTGCAGTGGCCGGATCTCAGCTCACTGCAAGCTCCGCCTCCTGGGTTTACGCCATTCTCCTGCCTCAGCCTCTCGAGTAGCTGGGATTACAGGCGCCGCCACCTCGCCCGGCTAGTTTTTTGTAGTTTTAGTAGAGACAGGGTTTCACTGTGTTCGCCAGGATGGTCTCGATCTCCTGACTTCGTGATCCACCCGTCTCGGCCTCCCAAAGTGCTGGGATTACAGGCTTGAGCCACCGCGCCCGGCCTAACCTGTCTTTCTTTAAATTCACTGTACACATTTTCATCTCGTAAGACATCACTCATGCTGTAGATCATCTGGATACTGAATATCACTCGGTGTGTCAGACATAATATATAACACTTCAATAAAGATAACCCGGTGTTGGTTTTTTATTTGTATATTTGTATAGTTTTTGTATTGTCTACCAAACTGAGAAATCAACACTGATTTAAAGACTATCCTAACCTCTTATAGAAAAGTATAGGAAGACAGAATTAAGAAAACATTCTGCCCAAAAATACCTGTGTGTGTGAGAATGTGGTGAAAACAGACCCAGTTTCTCCTACTGTACTCTCACAACAGAGAACACGATCCCAGATGTCCTGGGTTTTCCCATACACACACCAAGCGAGCAATTCTGCACTGGACACCAGCTGAGTGACCTCCTATTCAGTTCAATTCTGACACTATCTACCTGGACATAGCATCAGATCCCACAGGTTGAGGGCTCAGTCCCACAAGAGTGTACCCACTTCCATACCAGCTGCAAATACAAGTGGCCTTTTGCTTCTCACTGACTGGCTTATATATCATGAATTCCCATGACCCTCTCCTCAGGTTTGAATGATTTGCTAGAATGGCTCACAGAAATCAGGGGAACACTTTATTTATATTGACCCATTTATTATATGGGATATTACAGAATATACAGATGAACAGCCAGATGTAAGCAGTCTATTCGGTAAGGTATGGGAAAAGGAGCATGGCATGGTGGTGCTTTCCTGTAATCCCAACTACTTGGGAGGTTGAGTGCTGTCTTTGGTGGGGGTCGGGGGGGGGCATTCTCAGAGCCTCCATGTGTTTCCCTATCCTGAAGCTTGTTCAGGCCCTGTCCTTTTCGGTTATTATGGGGGCTTCATTACGTGGGCATGATTGCTTACATCTTTGGCTATTGGTGATCAGCTGAGCCTTTAGCCCCCATCCCCTCAGGGGAAGTTGGGGGATGGGGCTCGAAGTCCCAACTTTCTGATCCTGCCTTGATCTTTCTGGTAACCACCCCCCTATTCTGAAACTATCTTGGGGCCTCCAGCCACCAGTCATCTTATTAGCTTACAAAGGCACTTATCACTCCAGAGATTCCAAGTGAGATGTATGTCAGGAAAGGGGGATGAAGACCATATGTATATTTTATTATATCACAACTTCGATGTTGTTCCACTCACTTCAGTTTCATCTATTTTCCCTTCTCATTTTATGTGAAGTTTGGAACTTTCTTCATATCCCCTTGGTGAATGTGTTTTTCATTTTAGGGACAGGTGACATTCAGGGATGTGGCTATAGAATTCTCTCAGGAGGAGTGGACATGCCTGGACCCCGCTCAGAGGACTTTGTACAGGGATGTGATGTTGGAGAATTATAGGAACCTGGCCTCCCTGGGTGAGGATGACTTTCTTCCAGAAGTCAGGATCTTCCCCTGTGTATCTTTTCATTTTCCATGTGGGTCTCTTGGGAGCTCCTGCATTGCTTGGCTGAAACTGAAGCTGTGTTGACTCAAAAATGAAAGTCTCCATAATGTGGAAACTGGATTTTAATTGTCCTCTTCCCGATATCACTGGAGGGTTTCAGGACTTTTAAAATATCCAATTCCCTGTTTTCTATCCCCATGCTTTGATTTAGTGGTTTTGGGATGAGAGCTATATATTTGCATATTATAGTGTTTCCTAACAATTTATAAGGAAGCATTTAGTGGATGAATTTTTGAAGTGTTTTTTTAGATACAGCTGTAAAGTCCTCCCTCCTCATGTAAACATAGGACTGGGACTCTGGAAACATAGGACTGGGACTCTACAGCCCATTGTTTTCCTTTCTTTTCATAAGCAGGAATCTCTTGTTTTGACCTCAGTATTATCTCTATGTTGGAGCAAGGGAAGGAGCCTTTCACTGTGGAGAGCCAAGTACAGATAGCAAGAAACCCAGATGGATGGGAATGGATCAAAGCCGTAATTACAGGTAAGAGTTCAGATGGGTAGAGAAAATGCCGCTTATTAAATAGTGTTTAGGAAACTCTATGCAAATTTGAGAGTTCTATGGGAGAACAGAAATTTGAATCCTGTGACCTCTGAAAAGAAATCTTTATTTGCCCCCTTTTGTCTATCCTTTAGACTTGTACTATATCCTTTCACCTTCCAATGGTGCTGCAGCTCAAATAGACAAAGGCAAAGTCTTTATCATGATGGACAACAATGTTATCTAGCTTCTGAGAACTCTGGTTCCTTGACTGTATGTGGCACAGGGAGGGCTGTTACAAAAGGGTTGTTTGATGTCCTTTGGTGTTTCCTTCTATAGTTGATTCTATCTGATGCCCAGTTCTCAGACATATAGATCCAAATTCTATATAGTTTGCTAAATTTTAAGAGTGTTTTAGTGGAGTTGTTAGGTTTTTCTAAATATAAAATCATGTCATCTGCAAAGAAGTATGTTTTGACTTCTTCCTTTTCAATTTGTATGTTTTTTATTTCTCTTGCCTAATTGCTTTGGCTAGAACATCAGTGCTATGTTGAATAGATGTCATGAAAGTGGACATCCTTGTCTTTCAGATCTTAGCAGAAAGGCTTTCAATTTTTTCTTGTTTACTATGTTCCCTCTGGATTTGTCATATATGGCTTTTATCATGCTTAGGTATGTTTTTTCTGTACCCAAGTTGTTGAGACTTTTTATTATGGAGGGATATTGATTTTATTGAGTCATTTTCCAGCATCTATTGAAATGATAATATGCTTCTTGTCCTTGATTCTGTTGATGTGATGGATCACATTAATTGATTTGTGTGTGTTAAACTATCCTTGCATTCCTGGAATAAATCCTACTTGATCATGGTGAATGTCTTTTTAATGTGTTGTTGAATTCTATTTGCTAATTCTATTTTGTCAAGGATTTTTGCATGTATATTCATCAGGGGTATTGGCCTATAGTTTTCTTTTTGTTGTTGTGTCCTTGTCTGCATTTTGGTATCAGGGTAATGCTGGCCTCATAAAATGAGTTTGGAAATATGTGCTCCCTCCAATTTTTGAAATAGTTTGAGTAGAATTAGAATTCTTTATTTTTTCTTTTCTTTCTTTCTTTATTATCATTATCATTATTATTATTATTATTATTATTATTATTTTGAGATAGCCTCTCTCTATCTCACCCAGACTGGAGTGCAGTGGCACAATCATAGCTTACTGCAAACTGAAACTCCTGGGCTCAACTGACCCTCCCTCCACATCCTCCCCAGTAGCTGGCGTTACAGGTGCACACTACCATGCCCAACTAATTGTGGGTTTTTTTGTTTGTTTGTTAGTTTGTTTTTGAGATGGAGTCTTGTTCTCTTGCCCAGGCTGGAATGCAGTGATGTGATCTCGGCTTACTGCAACCTCTGCCTCCCAGGTTCAAACGATTCTCCTGCCTCAGCCTCCCAAGTAGCTGGGATTACAGGCGTCTGCCACCACACTTGGCTGATTTTTGTATTTTTAGTAAAGACAGGGTTTCACCATGTTGGCCAAGCTGGTCTTGAACTCCTGACCTCAGGTGATCATCCTGCCTTGACCTCCCAAAGTGCTGGGATTACAGGCATGAGCCACCGTGCCTGGCCAAATCGTTTTTTATTTTTTAGTAGAACTGAGGTCTTGATATGTTGCCCAGGCTGGTCTCAAACTTCTGGCATCAAGCAATCCTCCCATCTTAGCCTCCCAAACTGTTGGGATTATAGGCATGAGCCAACATGCCTAACCAGTATTAGCTATTCTTCAAGTGTTTGGTAGAATTCAGCAGTGAATTCATTCAATCCTGGGCTTTTCTTCTACATGAATTTTTTTTTTTTTTTTT